ATGAAACTGTCTTAGCTAAAGATGACTTCTACCCTGCCAAAATTTATATTTGTGGTCCCTAGCCCTACTATTCTCCCTGTTAAATATAAAAAAAGATGATGCATCAACACTATCAATTCCCTTTACAATCTTAAACACCTCAATCAGATCCCCTCTAACTCTTCTTTATTCAAGAGAAAACAACCTGAGAGATTTCAGCCTCTCCTCATATGACAACCCATCCATCTGAGGCACCATTATAGTAACCGTCCTCTGAATCCTTTCCAACAATTTAATGTACATCTTTAGGTAAGGATCCCAAGACTGAATGCAATACTTCAAACGTGGCCTAACCAGTGACCTATACAATAGACTTATATTCAATATTTCTGTAGATACAACATAAAATCCTATTTGTCCTACCACTAGCAATAGCACACTGCTTGGATGACTTTAGAGACTGATCAACTATTACACCAAGATCCCTTTCTTTCATGACACTCTTAAGGTTATTCCCATCCAAATTATACTTATAATTCAAATTATGATAACCCACATGCATTATCTTGTATTTATTATAATTAAAACCCATCTGCCATTTATTTGTCCAACTCACTAAATGATCTAAATCCTTTTGTAAATCAGCAGCATCCTCTTCACAACTAGCAACACCCAAGACCTTAATATCATCTGGAAATTTAAGTAATTTATTGACCATTCTTTCATCTATGTCACTGGGTAAATCCAAAAGAGCAAAGGTACTAAGACTGAGCCCTGAGGTACCCCACTTGTGACATTAATCTGGTTTGACTGAACTCCATTTATAACAACCCTTTGCTTTCTTCCATCCAGACACTCTTCTATCCAATTTGCTAACTTATCCCCACACACATATATAGAGGTAATTTTTTACAAGCGTTTTATTTGGCACCTTGTCAAATGCTTTCTGAAAATCCAGATACAACCTTATCCTCATCTATATATGCAGTAACCTTTTCCAAGAATGTCAAAAGATTTGTAAGGCAAGATTTTTCCTTAGTGAAACCATGTTCACTATCCAAAAAAATTCTAAACTTATCAGACCTTCCAAAACTTTTCTCACAACTGATGTAAGACTAATGGGCATATAATTACTTGGACAATTTTGAAAAGAGTTAACTTTAGCTAACTTCCAATACTCTGGTACCTGCCCACTATTCAAGGAATTTACAAAAAAAATAGTAACAAGTGGCTCACATATCCAATCTTTAACCTGCTTCAAAACCCTTAAGGAAATATTATCTGGGCCAAGAGCTTTATCATTTTTTTAAACTTCCCAATTTTTTCTTAACAAGTGCAGAATTAATACAGTCATCTTGTTTGATCTCATTTCCATTTATCAGATGTTCAAGATGTGGAATACTGCTTAAATATTTTTTGGTATTGTTACGTCTCCGTTTGTTAATTAACTTTCCGTAACTTCGTTCCAACGAAACTTTAACGACACAAGTTCTTACTTAATAAAACTGGTTTATTCTTTCCGAATAGAACTTTACGATACACTTAATTTCAATATTCGCGCTAAAACAAACACTATAACGAACGAACGTTAACTTCAACAATACCCTGTGAATGCAGTTCAATTACTCACTACCTACACACACATTACATTACCGTCACATTGTCACCCTCTTTTATATACCAGACTACCCTATATCTAGTAAATGCTAGAGCATTCGCCAAAGTACAGGATAGTTCTAGAAAGTAGAGGGCGTAAGAATAGTCACATGATCTCGATGACGCAACACTGCCCCCTTCTTAATATTGTTCATCCCGAACAATAACCACATACAATAAACCAATAACAATTAACAATAACTTAATTAACTGTACAGAATTACAAACACAAAATTATAATTCAACAAAGTCTCTTAATTTTATGGGACGTATCTTCTTCCATACTGGTCTCCGTCTCGTTGGCTTCT